TCTCCTTTCTCCAGAGCGTCCAGCCACCGCTCCTCCTCGTCCACGGGCCCGCCCAGCATGGAATCTGAGTCCATATCCGGCAGAGGGGATGTGGCCAGGTTGCTGTCTTCATCTGGTACAAAACAATCAAGATACAGACAGTCTTTGTTGCAAGGCTAAAATAAAATCAAGATCAAGCTCTGTTGTGCTATTCTGTACCATCAGCAGATTCTCAGACATCACTGTTTGTTTCAGCTCTGAAGTTGGAGTCATGTAGGGATGCAGGCAGATTCTACTTATTAATGTGTGGAGTATTTCTTTCAAACCACAGTTTATAAACTGGTTTGTAAATATCAGAGGATGTTGTCCAGGTGATAAAAAAAATATTCAGTTCATGACCAGATTAGACAAAAGCAGTAAGTATTTGGGAATAAGAAAATATCTGGCAACAAACAGCACAAATGTTTTAATCTTTGGCAAAGGAACCATTTCTAACATAAAAATAGTATGTCAAAGACGTGTGACAAACACATGCAGAAAAAACCAACAAAACTGCCAGAAAAAAACAGAAAAAACAAAACCAGGTTTTTTTAAAGTATGCAACAAAGCTTTTACAAGAGCTTAGATCTCAGGAGGTTGGCAGAAACTTGAAACTAAACAGCAGGAACTAGTAATCATTTCTTTCAAATATGACTTCCTTCATGGTTTCATCCATGAAGTGTCAACAGTCCCGATCAAGCTGAGGTCATCCCTCCTCCTATATTAGAATTGAGTCCACTTGTTTTGCTAACTCACCGAGCCAGGCTCGATACTGCTCCAAAGGAACAGAGGGCTCGTCATCATCATCTTCATCGTCGTCATCATCGTCGTCATCAACGTTGTTGTCAATGATCATTAAAGGTGAGGGTGGACGAGCCACACCAGGATGGACGGTGAAAGTGGGAACACTGGAGAGCACAATGTCCTTTTAACTGACTGATCAAACTGATTCATGAACAGTTATCGATACTGAAATCTGGCTCAAACGTCTCACCTCTTGGTTCCCAGCGTCTGTCCTCCCAGTTTGATCTTCAGTCGGAGCTGCGGCGGAGGCCGAGGCACCACTACAGGCTCAGGCTCCGGCACCTCGGGGAAGCTGTGGTGCTTCTTCTTGTGCTTCTTGTGTTTTTTGTGTTTCCGCTTGTGAGCGCTGTGCAGGCTGGAGCCGCCTTCACCTGCAGAGGACGGGACAAAGCACAGATTAATACAAAGACCGTCAGTGAGTTAGTTGCTCATCCAGCTCATGGTACATCGCCTCTGTCAGTGCGCCCCAGGGTGGCTGTGGCTACAATGTAGCTTGCCATCACCAGTGTGTGAATGTGTGCGTGAATGGGTGGATGACTGGATATGTAAAGCGCTTTGGGGTCCTTAGGGACTAGTAAAGCGCACAGTTCACAATTTAGAACTTTTAAATGGCTAATTGAGCACAGTTTAGGTTAAGATGATGAGACAATCACTGTGTGCAAGTTTGATTAAATTCTGATCAAATCTGTAGGAGGAGAACTGTGGAAGAACAGACACCTTGCCACAGCGTAAGGGCAGTGGTCCATCAGCTCGATGAGCTAAAACGCAAAATGATTTCTTTTCAAATAAAATGTTTACATCCACATCCATTCATCTTCTGCTTATCAAATTCAGATTCACAGAGCCAGACGGTTTTTCTAATTTGTTTTCTACAGAATTGAACCAGAAATCAAAGGTCAAGAATCAGAACTCCAAGTTGGTTTTAATATAAACAATCCACATCTTTGGATCTAGTTGTGTCATTTATATCCCCCTTTGAGTCAGGTAAACAAAGAAACTCATTACAAGAGATAACTGTTTCCAAGTCTTTCAGCTTTCCATCACAACATATACCAACATGTATTTAACATAGGAATAATGTGACACAAGTAAAATAACCTGCATTGGAAACATCAACCTCATTAAAAAGCAAACAAACAAACAAATCCCTTTCTATTCTCGGGTTCTGATTATTTTTCTTGTTTTATTTGTGTGTGTTCTTTTAAAAACCACGTAATTTTTTAATTACTTACTTACATTAATTACATCACTTTGTTCAGTGATGGCTGCCTTTTAAAAGGTCTAATAAACAGACTCGGTTTGAACCCTATAACAATAAAATTACAAATGAATCAGCTCAGAGTAAAAACAATATGATTTCACCTTTTTTTTTTTTTAAATACATTCAGCAAAAAAGTATTTCATTCTAGTTTGCCATTTTTAATAGAGTGGCCGCTCCTACAGAGGTCACTGAAGCAGATAATCTGCCTATATGTATTCCTATCATCCTCCTCTGTCACACCATGTCCATCACTACATCCATGAACCTGCTTTGTGGTCTTCCCCTCCTGCCTGGAAGCTCCATCTCTCCTTTGTCCAGTATATCCACTACGCCTCTTCTGTACATAGCCACACCATCTCGGCTTTGCCTCTCTCCCTTTCTGTGTGGCCTGAGTTGTCCCTCTGTTACATTCATTTCTATTCTTGTCTATTCTGGTCACTCCCACTGAAAATCTTAACATCTCCAGCTAGGGCTGCTCAATTAATCGAATTTTAATCACGATTACGATCTGGGCTTTCAACGATCATTAAAAATGACTGAGCCGATTATTAGCCCCTCCCTCATTTATCCGCGACACCTTAAAGGCCGGTCCGTGAAAATATTGTCGGGCATAAACCGGTCCGTGGCGCAAAAAAGGTTGGAGACCGCTGATTAAGAGGACCCGAGGGAAGCTCGGAAAGCTAAGCAGAAGTTATTTGGAGAGGAGAGTGACTGCTGTTGGTTGAAAAGAGAGGTTAAAAAAAAAAAAAACTTCAGTGGTGTTGCACACTATTTTATATTATTTTCTAAAGTCATTGAAGCCGGTCAGAGCAGCACGCTCCGTTTTGTGTAACTATTTTTAAATCCCTGTAGAACCTGAACCGTGTAAGCTAGCGCAATAATTTTTTTTGCATATGAAACCGGAGGAGTTGTACTTACATCTGATGCCATCAGCTTGTCCTCGGTCACGGTTTCCTTCCACATAAAGCTTTGCAAAAACTGCATAGAAAGCGCTTGCAGGAACAAAAACATAATATTCCAGAAACACGCTTTGCCGATCTGATCAGCTGTTCATAACACTTCCCACAGTGAATCAGACGTCAGCACGAACTATCACATGTCGGCCATTTCCTCCCCGAAACCGGAAGTGACGTCATTTTCGCGGAAATGTAGTTTTTTACTTGTAGGCCTTAAAAGCCTATACTGGTCATGTTTGACTTTTCTGAATAGTTTCTGGGATGCTTAGAACTCGAATTGCACTGCTGGAAATCGTTTATTTTGATGCACCTTCTGTTTTCTTTGCAAATTTGCATCATAGGACTGTTTTTTGTTTTTCCTGCAGTATATAAAAATTGGTGTATCTCCAAAATAAAACTATGAAGACACTCAAAATAAATTTCCTGTTGTTGTAAACTATTTTTTGCAACTTTTTTGTATTTAAAGTTTTGAGGGATAAGCCTCTTAAATTTCTCCAAGTAGAAATATATGTAAAAAAACAAAACCGATTTTCAATTTTTTTGTAGTTTATTGCAACTTTTTTGCAATTTATGCAGTTACTATGGACATAATGCATACATATTATTAAAATATGGGCTATAACAGTTGTATAGCAACTTGAAATGCTCCCACAAATGGCACTACAACATGTAAAAAAATAATATAAGCTCTGGCGGACTTGGTTCTATGGTAGGTCTTAAAGGGTTAAATAAATATCGTCAAATAATCGAGATCTCAATTTCAGTGAAAATAATCGTGATTATCATTTTTGCCATAATCGAGCAGCCCTATCTCCAGCTCAACCACCTGTCTTTGTCAGTGCCACCGTCTCCAAATCACACAACATTTGTTGTGTGTAGTTTATGTGTTGTTGGGCTCACAACTGACCCACAGTCTGAATGCTGGCAGATTTAAAAAAACAAAAAAACAAAACACAACAACAACAACAACAACAACGAAAAGACCTTTTCTACTGCTGTAAGAAACTCTTTAAATCTACAAAGTAAACTGTGAAGGGACATGTTTTGTCCCAACTTGGAGGTGGTTTCTCCTATAAACATTTGTTTAAGATGCATTTCAAAATATCAGCCAAACTTCCTGTTTGTTATCCCCCCCAAACTATCAACACACACAGCCTCCATTTACTGCTAAAAACGGAGGCCAGCCACTACAAAAGGCCCACGTTAAGCTTTATATGAGGATGGGATATTCCAAGAGATCACCCCTGGTTTAGATGCGCTTATGTTTTGTTTTGTTTTATGGATATGTTTAATCAGCTTTTTGCAGGCTGTGGTTTTAAGCAGACAAACTGGAGACTTTAAGCACAAGGAAAGAATATACGAAAACGTGCGACTGCAACAGTACAAGCTTTCTCAAATACTCACCGAGAAATCTGGGGTGAATCATGTCTTTCCTTTTTCCCATTGAAACGACGAAACAAAAGCAGCTTACATAGCAGCAGAAACCTCACGGTAAACAAACATTAAAGCTTAAACACTGAGCGGCCTCATTCAGCCTCCTCTGCTAGCATCAAACAACTGCTAATATAGTCAAAAGGCTCAAAATAATGATAAAAAAACCCAATTACCAATAAACTTTGGAGAAGAAACGCTACACAAAACATTAACTAACTCATTTTAGATATTAACTAAGCGAGATTACGCTACATTTTCTCACTCCATGTTGAACAACACGGAAGTTCCGCTTCTTCGTCGTTTTCCTGCTGTTTCCGCTTTCCCGCGCTTCACTGCACCCTAGCGGGGACCAGAGGAATAAACATTCACCAGAGACTGCTGCACAACGTCTCGTTCAGGCTTCGCATCTGTGAAATGTCGAGCAGCCGATATTTTCTTTAACGTGAAATAATTTCTAACGCTTCGTGACACAGACTCGTACAACAGAAAATGCAGACATTTCTGCCCGGTAAGCAGGCAGGCGTTAATATTTTTCTTTGTAGTACATCTTGGGTAATGTAGTTCAAGAAGCGGTCACCGGCGCTAACCACCACAGAAAGTCGCCACGCATCTAGAAATACACTGACCAGAAGCCCCCGCGTCGATTCTGCCACACGCGCAAGGTCAGTTACACTGCAGAGTGTGGTAGAGCAAATGTCATAACTACAGTTAAAATAATTGTTTACACCTATGATATGTTTAGTCCTGTGTTCACTGTAGCCTCCCATAGTGTGTGTCCGTGTTAGCTCACCTTATAGCTGTTTCGGGTTTATATCTATATATGTATATATAGATATATGTATATATATAGATATAGATATGAATCTGTTTTTACGTTACATACCAAAAAAAAGGTAACACATTTCTACCATAGCCGCTGGCTCAGTTAAGAGCTACAGTTACAGATTAACTTATAGAAACAGCGTAAATGCTTCACTGAAAGCCTGTGGAAGGAGGTGTAAGCTTAATGGGCAGATAACCCCGCTGTGTGAGGGGAGGCAGCTGATATTTTTCACCTTGTAATTTGACAGGAAACATGAATTACGCTCGGTTTCTGACAGCTGTCAGTGCAGCGAGAAAGCCTTCCCCCATCAGGATGCTGAGTGAGTACTTTTCATATATTAATACACTTGTGTCCGGTTGTACAGCGAGACTAATGCACCCATTACAATAGCCAGTTTGACACAAAATGGTAAAAACGGGTGTTCCTAATCACCTTAAGGGTCTGTAGCTAATGTGGAATAGAGCCTATGATGTCACTGGTAGCACCCGTGTTTGGTGTTTACCTCTCTTTCGTGTGAGTTATGTCTGTGTGAGAATGCAAAAAAACAGCAAGTCTTCTGAGTTTTTTTCAGTTTTTCCTTGTCTGCTGTGGTTTTTATTTAACTACAACAAAAATGACCAATTAAACCGGTGATCTTTCTAACCGCAAGGTTCATATTTTCCATGCCATCTCTATTTACTCCACCGGAAACAGATGAAATAAACAGAACACATTAAAACACGAGTTTTATTTAGTTTATATGGTTAAAAAAAAAAAAACGTCAGAGGCGTATAAATGACGCTAAAGACATACTTCATAACGTCTCAAACGGCTCACTAGAACAGAAATGGGGAACATCATGAAACGTGAAAATTATACACATCCCTCATTTGTTCACTTACATTTAAACAAAACACATTATTGTAAACATCTCTAACAGCTTAGCTTTGAATAAGGCATGAATGGATAACTTCAGAGAATTACACATCCAGTCTTTCAGGAGGTCTCACCACTCGACCAGATCTGGTAATAGTCCCTGTTGGTCTGAGGTGGCTCCTATTTCTCCTCAGAAAACCCCTGTCTGTCTCTACCACATAGGATCTGGGAGCACTGGCAGGTCCAACTACTGCTCCAGTAGTTCCTTCAGTGGTAATCCACACTTTCTGTCCTGACGATAGTTCCGGAAGCGGTCTGACTCTATGTCTGCGGTTGTAGTGTTTTGCCTGCTCACACCTCCCCTCCTCATCTTTTTTGCGAAAAGCCTGCAGGTCAGGCCACTTTGGCACCAGCTTTGCCACAGCCTGTGGCAGCGTGGTCCGCAGGTGTCTCCCCATAAGCAACTGCGCTGGCGAGAGCCCATGTTCCAGTGGGGTGGCCCTGTACGCTAGCAGTGCTCTGGTGTAGTCACAGTGCTTTTTCCACAAGTCTTTAATGGTACGAACAGCGCGTTCTGCCTCCCCATTGGCTTGGGAGTACCTAGGGCTGCTCGTTTCATGTGTGAACTGGTACTCTTTGGCAAAGTGCTTGAACTGTTCTGATGAAAATTGCGGCCCGTTATCCAATACCACAGTCTCGGCAACACCATGTCTTGCAAAGGCTTCTTTTACAGCATTAATAGTGACCTCTGCAGTTGTGTGTCTCAGTTCAGCTATCTCAATGTACCTTGAGAAAAAATCAATAATCAGCAGGAAGTGTTTCTTTGACCACTCGAACAGATCCATGCCGACTTTTTGCCATGGGCGGTCGGGAACAGGAGTTGCCAGCATTGGTTCACGGCACTGTAACCTATGTTTTTGACATGTTTCGCACCTGTCTACCATTTGACATATTTGGGTTGAGATTCCCGGCCACCACACAGACTCTTTTGCTCTGGCCCTGCATTTTGAAACGCCCTGGTGGCCTTCATGCAAACGTGACAAAACCTCCGCTCTCATTTGAGGTGGTATCACAAGTCTCTCCCCTTTCATGAGAAGACCATGGACTAGATTGAAGTCCATTCTGTATTCCCAGCACCCCTTTAACTCTGGATCTAGTTTACCTTTTTCTGGCCAGCCTGTCCCACATTGATACACCACCTTTCTACACAGGTCATCCATTTCCTGCGCCAACTTAATCTCCTCCAACCTTTTATCTGTTGCTGGGAGATGGGAAACTACACCGTCCACGAAAACCTCCACCTCTTTTTCCAGCTGAAGATCCCCAGCAGAAGGAGGCCCTGCCAGCGGTGCTCGTGAGAGAGCATCAGCAGTGACAAGGTTTTTCCCTGGAACATGGACAATGGTGAAAGTAAAGCGCAGCAGCCTGAGGCGGAATCTCAGGATGCGTGGAGGCAGGTCGTCCAGGCCTCTTGTGCTCAGAAGAGGGACCAGGGGTTTGTGATCTGTGATTAGAGTGAACTGTAGGCCCATGAGGTAAGATGACAGTCGTTCACACACCCACGTTACAGCGAGCGCCTCCTTTTCTATCTGCGCGTAGCGTTTCTCTGTGTCTGTGAGACCTCTTGAGATATATGTGACCGGTCGCCAGGAGTTGTCAGACTGTTTCTGAGTGAGAACAGCCCCGACACCGTATGCCGATGCATCTGCAGCGACTCATGTATCTGCTGAGTTGGAGTACTGAGCGAGCACTTCTGGAGAGCTTAATATCCCTTTTAGTCTCCTAAATGCTTTTTCCTGTGGCTCCCCCCATATCCACTCGTTTCTGTCTTTTAGCAGTTCCTTTAATGGTGTGGTGATTGTGGCTAGTTGTGGCATAAACTTGGCAAGATAGTTGGCCATGCCCATGAGACGGCGCACATCTCCCACACTCTGAGGCTGCGGCAGCTGCTGGATTGCTGTTATCTTGTTGGGATCAGCCTCAATGCCTTTTGCTGACACTTTGTGTCCCACAAAGATTATTAGACTTTTAGCAAACTCACACTTCTCATTCAGAGTGAGACCCTCCTTCTGAAACATTTGGCGCACACAGTGCAACCTCTGGTCGTGCTCCTGCCTGTCTCTGCCATATACAAGCACATCATCGGCGTGACAAATCACCCCTTCAAAATATTCCAGCATCTGTGACATTCGCCTTTGGAAATGTTCCGGCGCCGATGCAATGCCAAAAGGAAGGCGGTTGAACTGAAACCTTCCAAAAGGCGTGATGAAGGTAGTGAGTGGCCTTGACTCTGGCGTGAGCGGAATTTGCCAGAATCCAGACCGGGCGTCGAGCTTTGTGAACACTTTAGCATCTTTCATCATCGCTAGTGTTTGATCTACTGCTGCTTGCTCTATCTCAATGTGATAAGGCTCCCTCAGCACGCCTAAACCTTTAAAAACGTTTGGGTATGCTGCCCTGAAATCTGTCACCAATTCCGTTACTGTGCTTACTCTGTACACAAGACCCAGAGCCTCACACGCTGGCCTGCTTAGCAGTGGCTGTACTAGACCTGACACAAGGTAGACGTCTTGAGAAACATTGCGCCCTTTCACTGCTAGCTGTGCCTCGAAGCAGCCTTTAACATTGAGTGGGTTACTGCCCGGCCCTAGTAACTTCTTTCTGGGTCTCTGCAGCTTACCATCCCTGTCTGGACTGTACAAACCCTCTGGAATAGATGTAACATCCGCCCCTGTGTCAAGTTTAAAATATACATTTTCCTCATTTAACTTGACCTTTTACACCCAGGGCTGTGACCTCCCAGTCTCTACTTCACCCAAGAACACACAATCCTCGCTGTCTGTATCTTTCGGATTTTCTGTCACTTCGCGTAGCGCTGTAGCTTCACTACTGCGACAGACCGCAGCAAAGTGCCCTTTTTTCTGACATTTTCGACACTGTACCTCTTTGGCTGGACATTCTTTCCATGAGTGTTTGTTCTTGCGACCACAGCGGCCACATTCCTTTCCGCTTTGCTTGATTGGCTTTTGTTCTTTCTTCTGCCACGTCTGCGTTTTCCCGCTTGTTGTATTTGTCCGTATTGTGTCCATGTTCAGTGTTTTCTCCACTGCCGCGCTGCTGTGAAGTATTGGTTGTTGTTTCTTTACCGTTTCGCTCTGCCTAACTTTCTCAGTGGCTTTAGCAAGAGTCAACTCTGAGTCCATTTGCAGCAGCTCCGACAGTCTTTTGTCTTTTATGTCAACTACAATTCTGTCCCTTATGAGTTCGTCTTTGAGTGCTCCAAATGCACAATTTTCTGCAAGTTTGTGCACAGCAGTGATGAACGACTCTGTACTTTCCCCTTCCTGTTGCCGTCTGGAGTTAAACTGTGCTCTTTCAAAAATTACGTTGTGTTTTCCTACGTAATGTTTGTCAAATGCCTCTTTGACAGTTGCATATTTCTTTTTATCTGCATCGCACAGTGGTAAAACTGCCGAAACATCATCATCAGCGTCTCCTATAGCGTACAGGAGTGCATTAACTTGATACTCGTCTGATTTGTTATCAAGAGCAGTTGCAATGCGAAATCTTTCGAACCTTCTGATCCACTTTGGCCATTCGGCAGGATGAGAAAAGTCAAATGTTTCTGGGTACCGTGGTCGCCATCGTGACGTGTGGATCCCTGGCTTCCTCGCGTTCAGAATCCAAGCTTTCCGGTGCGCCGACCTCGTCTCCTCCCTCCGACATGTGAGGCTCGTGCTCGACCGCGCGCGCGCACGCGCCCTGTTGCTAGCGCCGGTCACAGCCTCGGCCACGCTTCACCTGCATGCCGGTCTTGTTCGGGTTACCGATGCGAAAACTTCTCTCGCAGTTAACTGCACCGTACTGTACTCGAAAAAGAAGAAGAAGAAAAAATCAGTGGAGACCGCCGTTCGCACTTCTGACACCACGTATAAATGATGACACTGGACGCAGCGTGTTCGGGTGATGTTTTCCAACTTTACTCGAAGCTCCCCCCACACACAGCCTTATGGGAACAGTAGTCTACCGCTACAAGAGGCACATCCCAAATCTGCCCTGTTTCATTGCACATAACAGATTAGGTGAAAAGACCAGCTGAAATAATAGAACAGAAGAAAAAGCAAGCAGATGACAATTTCAGTTTTTTAACTTTTTCTGTTATATACAAATATTTCTGTTACAACTAAACATTTGTAAGTCTGGGTGGTGATGAGACTATAAGCTGGGACCTTTCTGTGTGCAGTTTGTATGTTCTCTCTCTTCCTGTGTGGGCACAATCAGAATTAAGCATGCATTTTAGACCAACTGGTGACTCTAAATTGATGGGGTGCAAAATGAGAAACTGTGATACTGCATCTGGAAGTCAGGAGTGGCAAAGATGTATGTGAGGTGGTGCAGGAAATGCATGAGGAGAGTGAGACAGTGATGGGGTGTGCAGTTGGAGTAACGGGTGAGTTCAAGATGGTGGTGGGATTACATCAGGGATTCACTCTGAGCCCCTTCTTGTTTGCAGTGGTGATGAACAGGCTGACAGATGAGGTCAGGCAGGAATCTGTGTGGGCTATGATGTTTGCAGATGACACTGATCTGTAGTGAGAGTGTGGAGCAGGTTGATAGAGAGCCTGCAGAGGTGGAGATATGCACTGAAGAAAAGAGAAATTAAGGTCAGGAGAAACAAGGCAGAACACGTGTGTAAATGAGAGGGACACCAGTATAACAGCAAAGAGCAGAAGTAGTGATCGTGGATGAGTTTAAACACCTAAAGTCATCCATGCAAAGCAACAGAAAGCACACGAGAAGTAAAGAGGAGAGTGCAGGCAGGGTGGAGTGGGTGGAGACTAATATCAGTGGTGGATTGTGACAGAAAGATAGCAGCAAGAGTAAAAGGGAAGGTTTACAAGATGGTAGTGATGCTGTGATGTATGGTTTGGTGAGACAGTGGAACTGAATAAAAGACAGGACGCTGAGCTGAAGGTTTCATCATCTTCTCTCTGTGATCCCACATGAAGCTGAGCTGCAGCAGCGGTCACCTCCATCGCTGATTTCTTTGGCCGGAGGAGCTCCTAACTCCAACACCTTCCCCTTCCAGTCAGCGTCCATCACGGTGAAGAACGGGCAGACAGTCACCTTCGATGAGGTGGCGATGAAGAGAGCTCTGCAGTACTCCGCCTCTAATGGGTGAGAAATCCAGATGACAGAATCGGTCACTGCTTTGTGACAATTTTCAGAACAGCATTTCAGTTTGGATTAGAGGATTAAGACAGACACTCGTGCAGACATGTGCAGTATTTGTGTGAAAATAAAACAGATTACTATTTTATGAAAATAGATTTGTCTTGGAAACACCTGATTTCTCTTCAATGCGTAGAATACCTGAGCTGCTGACGTGGATGAAAAACCTGCAGAAGAACCTCCACAACCCGCCGACTGCTAGCTACAGCCCTGAGAGCGGGCAGATGGAGATGTGTGTGACGACGGGGAGCCAGGAGGGGCTCTGCAAGGTACTGACACCATCACCTGTAGATTTACCTGTCCATCTGACATCAGCTGAACAGCTTAGACCCACTGAAACCCTTAAGCTATAGCTTTAAAGTAAGAATCTCTATATTTTAATATAGTTTTATTTATTATAGCAGTTTTTCATGTCAAGGAAAACATTCACAGCCTGTGTCTTAGCCTCGTATGTTTGCTGGTTTTGGTGCAGGTGTTTGAGATGTTGGTCAACCCCGGAGACAATGTTCTTCTGGATGCGCCCACGTATTCGGGCACGCTCGCAGTAGTAAGAGCATTTTTCTTCTGCACAACACAAACATTGCGACACGAAGCACTGCGACCACCTGACGCTCTCATTTCCTGTGCAGCTCCATCCTCTCGGCTGCAACTTGATAAACGTTCCCAGCGATCAGCATGGCATGATACCTGCAGCTCTGAAGGAAGTCCTGTCCCGGTGGGATCCGTCAGAGATCCACAAGCCCGGAAGCACCGCTCCCAAAATCCTCTACACTATCCCTAATGGAGGAAACCCCACCGGGGCCTCCATGACAGCAGAGAGGAAGAAGGAAGTGTATGAGGTAAGTCGTCGCCAAAGTCATACTCAGTGAGATAAATACATGCACACGCTGCAGATTTTGACTCTCTTGAGTCACGGTCGTACAAAGCAAACCAGTGAAGCGTGCACTCTGCTAATTACAGCTTGTTGTAAAGCTGCTTTCCCTGCAGATTCACTCTGACGTTTTTTATTTAAACCTCTCTTCTCTTTAATAGCTGGCCAGGCAGTACGACATGCTCATCATCGAGGATGACCCCTACTATTTCCTACAGTTTGAAAAGGTGCAAAGACAAGAGATTTTTTCTTTAAATGACAAACGGCAGCCTGTTAATCTGACCTTCATTAATAATGAATAAAGGTCACAGTTAGTTCATGTCATGTTTACTTGTGTGGCAGCCGTGGGCTCCCACGTTTCTCTCCATGGATGTTGATGGGAGGGTCATCAGGACCGACTCCTTCTCCAAAATTCTGTCTTCAGGGTGAGTTTCTCAACCTTTGTGACCGTTTAGGTGGGTGGATTTGTTTTACTCCCAGTACATGTGGAACTGATGTTCCCATTTCTTGATTTGCCCTAGCGACTATGAACCTGACACATAAATTTCTTTTACGTTTGTTGGAATGAAAACGTCAGGATCCTTCAGGAACACATATATTTGGGTCCAACCCTCAAGTAAACAAACTATTTTAGCGACTAAAATGACAGAATAGGGTGATGTATGACCTGTAATATGTTCTGCAGGAATAGTTTGTTTAAATGGCTGAATATGTGTTTATCACAACTGTAGCGTTCCCTTTTGTCTATGACAGACATGTTAAATAATGTTCTAATGTACTTATTTGTGGTTCTGGCATCACATTTTTTCATCAGATCTTTATGCCATATTTGGCTGCTTTTTTTTTAAGAGACTGAAACACCACCTGCCTCTAAAGGCCACCAACTGTTCATGTACACAGAGATCAGTAACAGGGAGAAAGTATTTCAGGCAGCAAACGTTGTCCAAATATGCCTGAAAGCAACAAGTTTGTCCGTGGCCTGTGTCTGAGCTCCAGCTGCTCAGTTGTGAAACTGCACACACCTCAGGATACCTTGTAATCTTGTTCTGTTAGCTGCAGTTCACAGTAAAAAAATTTGTATTTAATGGTAAAAGTGGAAAATCAGTACTATTAATGTTAAAATAACATGTTTCCAGTGTCATGTGTTGCTCTATTGGTATTCTTGCCACATCACTGGACCCGTGAAAAGCTGTAGGAGTTATAGATTGGGGGGGGGGGAAATGTCAGGAAACATTTTTATGAGTCAAAGTACCTCAAAGATCAGACACTGATGTAGCATACAGGTCTAGAAGGCAGCCCATGTGCTAAAGGGTCACTGCAGGGGTCCAGGTTCGAGTCTGCTCTCAGCCATTTTCAGTTTAGGTAAAAACGCTCAAAAATAAACTCCTAAAAAAGAAATATCACAGTGCCACATAAAAATATATGGCTCACTCACTCGCTTGAAGTTTATCTAGAAAAATCCCTCCGGTTATTTTTTTATTTATGTTTTTAACTACATGATGTGATGGCTTTGGAGAGTGGCTCCATAGTTTTTTACATATTGACCTAACAAGCAAAAGTTCCCCGGTTTGTTTCCGGGAGGAGACACGAATCCCTTTTGTGTCATCAGGCATAAAAATCTGCCAAATCAAACACAGAGCGCTACCTGCTGTGGTGAAGCCTTGTGACTAAGAGAGCAGCCAAAGGTAACGCATGGAATAACTTTTACACTTTAACCACAAATAAAAAACAACAAATGCAGTTTTTTAAACAATCGTAAGTATAGTAGTGAGGTGAATTGTAGGAAATTATAAAGATTACAGTAGTATAGTGTGTAGCTATTTCTAAAGGGGTTCAAGCAGGGTTTACTGACTTATGTTGTCGACACATTCAGCGGCTTCCAGCCAAGTGACATAGTACAGACACTCGTTTATCAAGCAACATCCTCATGGACACAAAATGTAAATATGGCACCCCAGCCTTTATCTGCACAGTAATGTGTGTTTCCAGCATTGCTTATCCAGGCTCCAGTTCCTCAGTTTCAGTGAAGTCACATTGCGAAACACAGTCTGTTAAAACAGGATCCGGTCACAGAGAGTTTATGTCTTAGGTTTAAGAGTGAAGTTAATATTTGACTCCAGGTTTTATGTACTGTGAGTGTTTCTGACTTGAATTATTCAGCTGGTTGTGTTGTTGCTTCAGACTGAGGATAGGTTTCGTGACCGGCCCCAAACCGCTTGTAGACCGGGTGGTGCTGCACATCCAGGCTTCGACGATGCACACAAGCACCTTCACACAGGTGAGAAATCTCCCACTTAACACCACCCAGAATCTCATCGTATTCACCCTGAATGGACTAAAAGAAATCTTTCAGCGTGAAGTGCTGTTGATAGTGACAGTATGCCATCACATAAAGCAGCAGTAAACACAGAGCAGGGCAGCACAGTTGCGCAGTGTGCTAGCAATGAAGCATATTTGTGAGCAGAGTCATTACTGACTTTTATACTCTGCCAGATTAAGTTCCCACCCACCAGGCACGCCTGATTTGCACAGACATAAACTCAAACCAGGCGAGGATGAGTGGTGTGCTGCTGTCACGCTACATTTAAAGCTGAAAAAGAATTTATCGCGTGTCTGAACTAGCAGAAGCAGCAGAGCAGATTTTACTCAGAAAGAAGGAGGAGAGGATTAATGAGGACCTCCAAAAGATCTGCCTCCAACCTCTTATTTAATCCTCACCTCTGCATATTCATCTAATCTAAACCAGAAATGTTATTAATGCATGAAAGATTTAAAATGCAAACAGCTCAGGCATAAAAACCCCATGTGAGAAGGAGGAAAGTGTGCCTCTTCAACTCATTAAACTATTAATATGCAGTTTTATTATCTGCTGTACAGTCATTTTACAGTCAAATGATTTGGAGTGATGCCAATATATAATCAGAGTGCCCTGCTTTCTTTCAGCTCATGGTGTCTCAGTTGTTGCACAGCTGGGGACAGGAGGGTTTCCTCCAGCACATAGACAAGTATGTCACTTCCTGTCTGACCAGTTTGACTTGTTAAAAACTGACTTGGATCCAGTTACGTTTCCAACAGGAAATCAAACAGTTCTTTTCTTTCCTCTTGCAGGGTGATTGAGTTTTACAGGAAACAGCGAGATGCCATGATCAGCTCTGCAGACAAATGGCTCAAAGGTTTGTGCACTCACTGATGAAGCCCAAAGTATCCACATGTAAACAAGCAGTGACCTGTTCACTTTACTTCATGTTTCCTTTAAGCTGGACTCATAGACTCTATATAACAGGTGATGTAGCCACAGTCAGATCAGCTTTGATGTGTGAACACTCCAGACTGACATGAGTGATTCTGATAGGCAAACAGTAACGGCTTTTAAACATGGCCAAGCCGTGAAGGGTACCATGTTTTATATTCTAGTTCACTTTAAATTGTTCCATGCTGTATTAGGTATGTCTATAAACTAGTGGTTGAACCATAAAGTCAGCAGGTAGGCATTTAATGAGGTCAAGTTACCAATAGGGTAATTTTCTCTTTGCATCCAGAGGTGTCGCCTCCTGCTGGAAGCAACAGTCATCCTTTATATACAGTCTGTGCTTGCAAACATAAATTTAGATCTTTGATGGAAGGCTCACACCCACTGAGGCTGAAGGTGAAATCTGTTGTCAGCATACTCCGTTTTAAGGTTCCTGTATAGTTTTCTGAAGAAGAGCAACACTATTAAGCAATGACCAAGATTATTTGAGTGTGCTGAGGCCCTTTCTGTGCCTGTGTGGGTCTTTCTGGGTATGTGAATGTGGGTGTGAATTGGTGGATGACTGAATGGAGTGTAAAGCGCTTTGGGGTCCATAGGGGCTAAGTAAAGCACGATACAAATACAGGCCATTTACCATTTTACTCCAGCTTCCTCCCACAATCCAAACACCAACTCGTTAGGTTAACCGGTATTTCTAAGTTTGTGTGTGTGTGTTTCAAATTATTAGGAAAATGTCTGGTTTACAGTTGGTTTCTCAGGAAGGAAATGGATTAAACATATTTAATATTTATTATATCCCCATTAATGGAAAAAGGAAAACTTACCTCTGCATCCAGACAGCTCTGACCTTCATTCATAACGGGCGGGAGCCAAAAGGTCATGCTGTATAAATGGAAAAGTACTGTAGTGGGGCCACACTCATATAAAAGTGTTAGTTATTTACATTCATCATAAAGCTTATGATTACTTACAATTAGACTTTGGACAGGTTGCCAGTCTGTTACAGGGCTAACACAGAGAAACAGACAACCACTGACACTCAGAGGCAGTTTAATCACCAGTTAACCTAACCCCACTAACTGCATGTCTAACTATGGGATGAAGCCAGAGTACTCACAGAGAACACACACACACACACACACACACACACACACACAAACATGCAAACTCCACAAAGGAAGGCCACGGCCGGCCTGTGGAGTCGAACTCTGGACCTTCTTGCTGTAAGGCAATAGTGCCGTCATCTAACAGCAGTCATTTTTGTAAAATTACTTACATTTGGCAGCAGATTCACTAACAAACCCAGAACTAAGGTGTAGTGAACTATCAGTGATTTTTGACACTTCCTCTCATCCTTCTTCATCTTCCTCAGTCACTTTTCTTGGACTTTCTGCCCAGCAGCCTTTTCAGGAACCAAAGACACTGAATCTAAGTGAGATTTTGTGGCTCACTGCACCAGCAGCCGCTAAACCAGTGACTGTCTGGCCTACTTAAAGCACTGTATGACCAAAGAGGCATTGTGAATCACAGAAAAAAATGCTCAGGCACTTTTGTTTGTGTGTGTGCGTGCAGATGTAGCAGAGTGGCACACACCATCAGCAGGCATGTTCCTGTGGATGAAACTGAAGGGCATAGCTGATACCCAGCAGCTGATCATGGAGAAGGCGTTGGAGAAAGAGGTCAGTGTGAACAAACATGCAGGTGCTGTTCTCTTTTCAGGTTAAGACCTGCCTATTGAACAGCAGATACCCCAGAGGCACTTGTGTGCGTGTGTGTGCGTGAGAGGGAAAACACTTGCACAAAGGCTGCTTTACAAGCACCATCCCACACTCTGCCGAGACACAAAACCTGCATCGGCCTTGGTGCAAACATCTCCTCACAAACACACACACTCACACACAGTGTGTTTGTAATTCCATGCTACTGAATTAGCTGTGTATGAACAAGAGTGGGTACAATCGGGATTTTCCAAGGCCTCTGCACAGCAGGCTCGTGTCCTCTGAGTCCTGAGCATTTAAAGCCTTCATACAGCAGATAATAACACCACTGTGTCATTGGGCAGAGGAGGAATAATGGACAGCTGAATCTAAAATGAGTCTTTCAGTGCTGTCATAAATGCCACGGCGAACAGTTTACAGCCTGTGAGATCAAAACAGATACCAGAATATTTATACCCAATCCAAACTGCTATATCAGAGTGAGAAAGCTGGTTATCAGAGACAGAGAAGACAGGATGTTGACCAAACATGGAGGATATCCTGGACGTTATTCCTAGTGTTCCTCTCACTTCACATGAATAATGCCACAAATAGTAATTTTTTTTAAAAAGTTACCAAACAGAGAAAAATACGACGGTGACACAACCTGGCATAAAGGGAAACATTTGGCCTCACAGTTTGTAACCAGTACCTGAAATCCTAACAAAAAGCCTGCAGTAACTAAAATATATCACAAAGTTGTCATTTTACTCAGTGAGCTGTTTGAAAGCTAATGTAAGCTTTTTTTTGGACTTTTCTGGACTTAGACGGACACGATTGTAATTTTTATCATTTAGAGTAAAATCTGGTGACCTGCCTGGCTTTATGTTAGCTCAAGACACAGTTTGGCTGGGGTGAATGTAGGAAAAGACAATATGTAATATGTTTTATTCCCTATGTAAAAACTGGAGATGTGTAAGAACTGGTGATACATGTTTGTGTGTGTGTGTTACAGGTCCTGCTAGTTCCTGGAGGCGTGTTCATGATCAACAGCAGTGAGCCCTGCCCCTACGTCAGAGCGGCCTTTTCTCTCAGCACACCGGAGCAGATTGATGAGGTAAACAAATGGATAAACAACCAGATAAACACATACAATCTCTACAACTCAATCTAATCTTGTATTTCTTTCCCCACCAGGCTTTGAAAAGACTCTCTGCGCTCATCAAAGAGGCTTTGTGATGGTTTATTCGTCCTTGGCAGATGCAGGATTTTTTAAATATGTGGTTGAAGGGCTTAGTTTAGATTTAATAGTGCGTTCTTATGACTGTCAAAATTATAGTGTTACAAGCCCAAAATCAGGACCTACACAGAAAAAACTATAGGTGTGCTGACTGGGTGAAGAAGGTATCTGATCATTTGAGTGATGCCCGCCTTCCTCAGCTCAGAGTTTGTTTAGCAGACCAAGAAATCGGTACAGCACACCCTAAACGCTTAATGAAGTTCTTCTAAATCTAGTTTTTCCAAATCTAACCATCACCCATCACAGAGACGTCATAATCTCTGGGATGAATTCATGTTAACAAACAGATCATTTTCCAGAAGAAAAATGATCCCTTTCTTAGCGAGCAGGAAGTCAGAGAGCTCCGTCTTAACAGTTCTTGATATAATTATTTTAAAGTAGACCAGAGGCCTCTGCGACAAAGCAAGATTTAGGTTTATCTGGGTAACTTCAAGGTTAGCCCTGAGTTTTGTGTACTATGAAAGTGGTTCACTTTCATGCTGAAACATTCAAGCAAGTAAGTAATACAAAGGGAAACGGAGAAGGACGAGGTGGAGGGAGGAACAGAAAACGAAACCCTGAAAACACTAAACATAAATAAACTAAAACTAGGAACTGAAACCACGTAGAAAAAGCAAGGACTCAACTCCAAGAAAGAAGAATACAGCAAGACCTGAAGCACCACATAGCTGAATCGAAACCTCAGCACAGCAGCAACCTCAAACTAAGAGGATCAGAATATCCAACACATTAAAAACCCTCTAAAGAAACTCTGACCCCTGGGACCCAAACCAGGGCAAACATGGCAGACACAGCCTCACTGCTGTATAATGAACAATGGCTACACAAACTCATTACTGCATGAGAACATGGTTTTATCTCATCTGTGAAATAAAGTAAGGACTTTTTACCTTTTGTATTTTGTTGTATTTTTTTTGGAGTCTGTTTGTAGTTTGCTGCTCAGGGATTGGTGCAGATGATAAAATCAGATCATATTGCAGGTGGCCTGATCTGATTTCACTTTACAAAGTAATTGGTGTGGTTCTTACATAGTGCTTTTCTACTCTGAGCACTCAAAGCGCTTTAGAAAACTTGCCTCATTCACACCAGTGCTTTTTCTACGCTTGTTCTAGCTAACATTCACACACATCCATAGCAACTTGAGGATAGTATCTTGCCCAAGGATATTTGGTATGCAAAGTGGAGGGACCTGAGAGCTGGTCAGGTTCAGGTGGAGTCATGAACAATTCAGCACCGACTCGTCTTCCTCTTCATCCTTTTTTCTAAAGTCTGCTGGCTCTCACATAACAGCACCTGCTGACAACAGCAACAACAGGGTCTATCTGTTTGGTGGGAACTGTTTTCTTCTCCTTTGTACAGACTTCCTGCCCCCGCTGTGTTAATATGTAGCAGTCTGAAGTGTTTGTGTACTGCTCAAACATTCATCTGGAAAGGAGGACGGGGTCAGCGAGGTGGCTTAGATACAAGACTGTTAACACTTTACCCCTCTCACTGCAGTCGTGGATGAAGCGTTCAAATTTGAATGCAAAGATTTCTGTAAATACCAGGATGGGAATCTGAACAACAACTGAAGAGGAGCAACTGTGAAGAGGTCTCTCTTTGAATGTGTTTCAGTCAACAGTAACTTTAAAACCGAAGCAGTGCCCCAGATTTGTTTGGTAGAATGTGAAACATTAACACAGAAATGAATGAAAGCACCAAAATCCTCTCTAGAGCAGAAAAGTTGAAATTCTCTTAAAGTTACTGAATAAACTTTTGTTTTGTTTTTACTTTGAAACAATAAAAACAACCGTCCACACAAGCTAAAACACACACCACCTCCTTAACCTCCACAGCTTCTATACATAGATGAAGCATTGACTTAATTATTGACTGCCTGCTGAGGTTCTGGCATATAACGTCAATCCCCAACTCGCGCTGTGGCTTCAGGGTCTCCTTTTATCAGGCCTGGTAAACAGAATAACAGCCTGTACAGGCTGAATGACCCTGGCCGGGTCTAAATTTAGAGCAGCCTTTATTCTGCCTTTAATTGTTTCAAAAGGAAGCTGGCACTGTGATCCACATACAGTCTTTTCCTTGAACGGCCTTTTAGAATGTGTTTTCACCACAGCCCATTTACCTCTTACTATAGGCCTACGCTGTAATGCAGACATGCACAAAATAACCTACTTAGTGTGCCATGCTATTAAATGCCACAAGGCTTTATGTGAGCGAGGTTATCAGTCTTTTGCACTGGAAAGCTGTTCAGACCTTACTTCTGTCCTCGTGGGAGTCTGGAGGCCGGGCTGCATAAACATGCAGCAGTTATATCCTGTGTGAGGAAGGATAAACGAGGCTCCAGCACTGATGCTCACAGGTGTGTTGTGTATTAAAGCTTCCAATTAATATCTTACTTCGTGTGTCTAGGTTTGTCTGATCTATCTGAAAGTAAACCATGTAAACACAAGTATCATTTTAAATCAGCCCATGGTGCTTAATTTTTAATTAAATTAAAAAAAATCTACATTTTTTAAACCTGTTTTGTGTATTAACTTGTGGCTTTTTGTGGTTTAACTTGTCAAGCTCAAGTTAACATAATTTCCAATATCTTCCCTGCCTTGTGTAAGCTGCTAATAAATTAACCAGAGAGCATAAGAGAACCGGTTTAGTGATGGTTTGGATAAGTTGAAGTACTGGCAGCATATTAGCGGTATTAGATCGTATTGCACTGCACCAGTATTTGTTCATGTGTTGCATTTTTCCCACCCTCTGCGCACCCCACGTGATCAAAAATCAAGCAAAGAATGTTAAAATGGATTAAGTTATAGAAACCATGTCACAAATATTCTTTTATTGTATAAAGTGAGAATTGAGTTTGAGTCTGGCAGCCATCTGTACAGGCAGGGCAACCCAAGCAACTGGGCGACGTTGCCTCCCTCCGTGCCTTGAAGCAGCTCAGTCGTCGTTTGCAGAGCGAGCTGTCAGCGGTCCGATGAGGAGGAGGACGATGATGCCCGAGCAGAAATAGCACAGCGATAACCGCCGACTATGGTAGTTTCTACCAAACTTTCGAGGTGAAACAGCGGCCGACCATGATGTGAGTATGAAGCCCGAGTTTTATTAGCGGGGGAGTCGCGGATTTTGCCGTTTTTAGGACCGTTTATCCGCCGCCGCTGCCATTGTCAACGTTAAGGACCGGCTTGCTGGACCGCTTGGCTCTCCGCCGAGGAGGTAACGTTGCAGCATTACCCGGTGTCTTTTCAGCTATTTGTTTCTCCTCTTTTGGTCCAGTAACGTTGACAATTTAACTGTAGCGATACATGAAATGAACCCTCGTCCTGTGTAAACAGTCTGCGGTGGCACAGTTCTGGAAGGGTCCCCATACATATATCTGCTGTCCAGCACGTAGCCGGGCCCCACGCCCTTGTTTTATTTTATTTTATCCTCAAGCACAGTTTAAAATCTTAACAGCTCAACCACACATGACTAATATCCGCATTGACATATCTGTATTCTACCTAATTGATAAAGTAATGTAGGTAACGTTATTTTTGTCGGAGGGACTTTACGTGTGACAGCGGAAAATAGCCGGAGCCCACACACAGCTCCGTTATGTGGCAGTCTCCCTTTGTTTTCATACTAATCGAGCCCAAAGATGCGGTTGTAACGCAAAGCAAGGCTGCCTATATGGATAAAACGTTAAAAAAACAACAACAACATTGTTAATCGTAGTTGTTGTTAAGCTGTACTATGTGCGTTATATCTGTCTGATGTAACACTACCAGCCTTTAGCTGGAATATTAGCTCGATGTCAGCTTCAGACTAGCAAAAATGCTGCCGTTTGATGTTGCTAACTTTGAAGTCTATGAATGAACATTTAACGGTGTTTTAGAGAGGATTTCTGTGTGACTGGCTCAGATGCGGATGCAGTTTATTGCAGTGGAAGCTGATTGAACAGTAGATACCGTTAACCCTGCGAGACATAAAGGAAATGGGTGATTAGTGTAATAACAGCAGCAGTGGTCAAAAATATGGTATTTACCGGAATAAGAACGCAGTGTAGGGGAAGTAACTGCGAGGTTGCAGGGTTAAGATTGTTGTCACTTTAAATCTAGCACAGAAACAGAATCTGCTGCAGGTTATTAAACATGGAGTGCGTTTCTTCATAGTGTATATAAAGCAAAGTGCTGGGCCACACCTCATAATCTTTGAATTCAGGTGGTTAAAATCAACCCTGAGTGGTGTTATTGGAGCGTGGGAGCCTTTAAGAACCACAGCAACTCACCCACAAAGTCCCAGATACAGTTACGGAGCGGGGTCGCTGAGTGCTGAGGGATGTGGCATAGGCATTAACATCAGCACAAACACTGCCCTGGGAGCTTTGAGGCCAAGGAGCTCTTGTAGGAGCAATATGCAGGTGGCCCAGTACTTTTGTCCATATAGTGTAATTGTAAATGGATACTTTTAGATCTTAGATCTTTGTGTGAACAAAATTCAAATGTAAAAACGTAATCCTGTCTCACAGAAGTGTATTAACCTATGGTTGGAGTTCTAGTTATCAAAACATCTGATTATTATTAGTTTGTTCCTGGGCTGTCTCTAATTATTGCATGCCCCTCACTTTCTTGCTTCAGTGAGATACTTCATGGACCTGAGCTGAATACCAAATTACCCTCAAGCATCACGAGATAGCCAGTCTGCAGGATGGAGTCCCTGGAGGAATGACAGTTTTGTCCCCCTTGGGTAACAAACCTTCAGCTAGAGAAAATGAACTGGGCCGGTGGATTCGTTTTTCTGGTCCTGGTGTTCTTCGTCGCCTCGCAAACTGCCGGGGCCTCACAGCTTAACGCAGACGGAAACTACACGGAAACCGGTAACGCGACAGACGGAGGATCTGTCCCCGCTGTGTTCACAAGCGTGAGCCAGATAATTGCCCGAGAGGGGAGCTGCACACTGATTGATTGCAATGTCACTGGAGACCCATTCCCCAGCGTTCAGTGGTTCAACTCCCACGGTCACCGGGTGGACACGAGCGGTGAGATAGACTTTTTTTAAAATTCATTATAAACCTGGTTTCCTGCTCTCACTTTCCTATTATAAAATGATCACATTAAAGGAGCCCACTGAAGTGAGTGGTTCCTGACTGTTTTTCTTTTTGCAGTGACATTTTTATTTACTTGCAGCATCATCATTGTTACCACATGAGTTTAGGGTGATTTTCTTAATTGGAGTAAGTTAACGAGGACTTAGAAATCAGCATAAACACTACAGGTTTCTCCCCACGGGAGCTTGTGCTGTGGGCTTTAAACATTCTGAGCAGTCATCGTAAGAATCTAAAGACCAGAAGCGTTGCTGGCTCTGTATTCAAAGAGGAGTCTGACTTGTGTTCCTGGGGGGATTGTGGCCCAATTATTCTCCATTTTGTCTGGCAGCAGTGATTATTCTTTTTCTGATGGATGGTCTGTGTCAATTAGATTCAGGAAGCCTTAAACTAGTGATTTTCTTTCGAGCCCACTATCCTTTTGTCTGTGATCCGCCTTAGTAGAAACAGGGAGGGAGCAGTGGTTTGTTGTTTTCGCGATCCTCCTGAGCCGACCTGTTGAAACCTGCAGTTGAGAGCGAGAGAAAGAGAAGCCGCAGTTGTTATTATGACCTACAAACCCAGAAGTGCGTCTGTACCCACCACTCAGCTTTTCCCTTGGGTTACACTCAGGAATATAATTAGGGGCAGATAGACTTTCCCATAGCTGGCAGTACTGCACTGAGCAATAAACGTAGCAGAGTCACTAACCTGGATCCTGTAAAACGAAGCCAGTTCATCATACCCAGGACATATTTCTGTTATCAGGTCTCACTTACTGTAACATTACCAGTCAAACTGTCACAAGAAGCTGGTTTATCAGTCTAGCTGCCAACACT